TAGTATAATTGCTTGCTTTGCGTGCTTGGCCTCAGTTCTAACAAAGAATCCTTAAGAGTCTGGATCCTCTCGATGTCTCAATAAACTGTAATCGTTCTGAATGACTGTTGTTGGGAACTGATTTCTCCAGGGGCTCTGACAAGGGGAAGTCATGGAAGCAGTGACAGACTTCACGTTCCTGGGACCCAAGATCACTGCAGATAGTGACTGCAGCCATGAAATTAAAAGATGCCTGCTCCTTGAGAGGAAAGCTATGGTAAACCAAGACAGCATAATAAAAAGTAGAGAGACTGCCCTGCCAACAAAAGTCCACATAGTCAAAATGATGGTATTCCCAGTAGTAATGTATGGCTGCGAGAGTTGGACCATAAGGAAGGCCGAGCGCTGAAGAAAAAAATGCTTTCGAATTATGTTGCTGGAGAAGACTCTTGAGAGTCCCTTGGACTGCAAGGAGATCAAATTAGTCAATCCTAAAAGAAATCAACTCTGACTGTTCCCTGGAAGACCAGATACTGAGGCTGAAATACTTTGGCTACCAAATGAGAAGGGAGGACTCACTAGAGAAGACCCTGATGCTGGGAAAGATTGAAAGTAACAGAAGAAGGGGATGGCAAAGGATGAGATGGTTAGACAGTGTTATCGATGCAACAAACATAAAATTGAGCAAACTCCAGAGGATAACTGAAAACAGAAGGGCCTGGTGTGATGTGGTCTATGGGGTCATGAAGAGTCGGACTCGACTGTGTGACTGAACAACAAGTGGTCGATTTAATATCTAGGGATACCATTCTATGGTTTGAGGTTGTTTTTACCATAGAGTTTTTCCCAAAAGCAGAGCATTGCCCTTGACGTCACTGATGCACTGACATCACTTCTGGGTGACATCAGCACATCACGCAACATCCTTGACCATCCTTTGAATGCCCTCCCAATCCCCCCACTGGCATGACGAAGGGACCTGGCAACCCTATTAATATCACACAGGTTTGTTTCCAGCATATCTCCCTGCAGAAGGAAAATGAGAATGCAGAGAAGTCCTTTTTTAGATTTTGTTTAGTTTTGTGACCAAATATTTCATTTTGTCCATTTTATTATATGGGTTGGTGATTGTGGAAGAGCAACCCCATTCTTGTGCAAACCTTTGAAATGGTGTATTACTGGTGCACTGAAGCCTGTTTTCAAATATTCATGCATCACAGTGCAATGGCTGGGAAGCATTGCCTTGATGTGATTTATTGCAGTGCTTCCAAGTGAGTTGTGCTGCTGTAGTTGTGTCATTTCAAAGTAATCACTTTGATGCATAGGTTTCAGGAGTCCCTGCTTGCAGAAGGAATGCTTCAGCTGCTATTTGTGAGGCATTTTGTAATATGTTTATGCTTTCTTTTCACCATAGCATTTTAATGTTCTTCCATGTCTGAAGATTCAGTGGCAATGGTGGCTACAGTGGGGACTTACCTTGACAAGGAGAACAGCAGGGGGTCTGTTGTCAGAAGTTGATAGCCCCACTGTCCAGTTGGGAATGGCCATGGAGACAGAGGCAGACAAAAGGCTGGATGGGAAGGTGGGCAACACTATCTGACCTGGAGGAGCCTGACTGATGGAAGCACATGCTCAGCTCCCTGTCCTGGCTAGAGTGTCTTGCAGGAGATGGGGTAAGAGAGATGTGGGCTGGCCAAGGCAGGGGAAACAGGAGGCGGAAGCAAGGGAAGACAAGGAAACAGAGATGATGGAGTCAGGACAGGAGAGGTTGGGGCTAGGAGCATAAAAGTAGGACCAGAGGTGGTGGATTTATTTTGAGGAAGCAGAAAGTAGGAATACAGACTAAGAGAGAGAGGAAAACGAGCTAGAGCTGGAGGAGAAAGATAAGGAGGAAGAACGAAGAAGCTGGAGGAGACTTGTTCCCTATCCCCGGCCTCACAGCAGGCAAGGCAAAAGTGCCAGACCTCCTGCAAAACAAGTAACAGGAGGACTCTGTTCCCTGAAGCGGAGTGAACATACTGGGAGAGTGAAGTAAATCATCCTTTCTTGAATCTTTTATATGTGTCCTTTCTGTTGCTGTGTTATGCCAATGAAGGTTTATGCATGGATGTGTATATGTGCCAGCAGGATGCTCACACAAATTGGATTGCTTTGAGGCAATTCCCCTAGCACTGGACAGAGACCTCCCTTTGCATATTGTAGAGCCAGTTTGGTGTAGTGGTTAAGTGTGCGGACTCTAATCTGGGAGAACTGGGTTTGATTCCCCACTCCTCCACTTGCACCTGCTGATGTGACCTTGGGTCAGTCACAAGCTCTGGCACAGCTATCCTTGAAAAAGAGCAGTTCTCTCAGCCCCACCCACCTCACAGCGTGTCTGTTGTGGGGAGGGGAAGGGAAAGGAGTTTGTAAGCCGCTCTGAGACTCCAAGTGAAGGGCGGGGTATAAATCCAATCTCTTATCTTCTTCTTCTTCTAGAAGAGAAGAAGAGAGAAGAGATGGGATTTATACTCTGCCCTTCACTACCCGAAGAATGGCTTACGACCCTTCCCCTCCTCACAACAGACATCCTGTGAGGTATATGGGGCTGAGAGAGCTCTTTTGAGAACTGCCAGGGCAGCAAAAACTACAGTTGAAATGTCACAAGAGGAAGGAAGCTCACAAGAGCTCAAGATGTTCTATAGGGCATTTGTGAGTTTTGCAATTTTCAAAGCATGTTGGGCCAGGGGGCAAGGAGGATTATCTGCTCTATTTTCCCTGTGGAGGTGGATATGTGGATATGTGGAGGTACATATGTGGATAAGTGGAGATACCCAAAGACTTAAGAAAGGGCAGCTTGCTGAATGCATGAAAGCTAGGGGTGTCATTTTTTTGTTTGGCCTTCTCTTTCTACCTCTGTTAACTTGCCACAAGTGGCCCACACTCAGCAGATGTCCTAGAGTTGTCAACCTCCAGGTAGGGCCTGGAGATCTCCGAGAGATAAGTTATCCTGGGGAAAAGTCCTCCTTTAGAAGGTGAAGTCTATGCTATTATACCTTTCTGAGGCCCGTCCCTTCCCCCAACCCTGCCCTCCCCAGGTTCTAGCCTCAAATCTCCAGGAATTTCCCAACCCAGACTTGTCTACCCTAGAGCCCTTTCTTACCCCATTTCTTGTCTGCTGGACCTTTAAAAGAATTGGCTCCACACATGAGAGCCAGTTTGGTATTTTGTCTAAGATCACAGACTTTAATCTAAGAGAACCGGGTTTGATTCTCCACTCTTCCACATGCAGCTGCTGGAGTGACCTGGGGTCAGTCACAAGTTCTCTCAGTGCTGTTCTTTCAAGAGCAGTTCTCAAAGAGCTCTGTCAGCCCTACCTATCTCAGAGGGTGTTTGTTGTGGGGAGAGGAAGAGAAAGGAGATTGTAAGCCACCCCTTTGCTATATTAAAATGAGCAATTTTTTAATGCTGGGAGAAAGACTCACCTGGAAATATGGGAAATAAACCAACAGTCTCCTTCCATGTTATCCTGTTCTCAAATGAACTTCAAAGTCCACAAAGGGCACATTTTTACCATGCTCTGTATGGAGGCCATGGCCTGTACCATTCTTCCCCCAACTCTTGTCTGCTGGACCTTAAAAAATTGGCTCTACACATGAGCTTCCCTAAGCTGCTGTATCAACAGGGTTCTGTTCAGTCCCCCAGCTAAGACATACAGTTTACAGACTACTGCAGGTTGCCTGAGTAGAGAGGGGTGAAGTCCTGGACTAGCTTGCACTTAAGGGAACAGTGTGCAGTTAACTCAACTGCATCGGCAAAATATCTATATACTAATAGCCAAGAGTCCCCTCTGTGTGTGGATACTTATTTCTACAGATAGGGGGCTCACTCTCCCCGAACAGGTTTTTACAGACTAAGGGGACCCTGTAGGTTTGCAGGAAAATACATAAAGTTTAAAAAATGTAATAATGTATGCTGCTTTGGTCCCAACTGTGGAGGAAGACTGTAATTTTTCTAGATAGAGGCTGTTGGGGAGGGGGTGGAGACAGAAAGTTGAAGAGTTGTTGGGTGAGAAGGAAATACGGTTGTCAACGCCAGGTTGGGAAATTCCTGGACATCTGAGGGGTGGAGCCTGGGGAATGCAGGGTTTGAGGAGGGGAGGAACTTCAGACCAGTATAATGCCATAGACTCCACCCTCCAAACCAGCCATTTCGTCCACAAGAACTACCATTGCCAGCCTCCAAGTAAGGGCTGGAGATCACCCAGAATTACAACTGTTGTCTAGGTGACAGAGGTCAGTTACCCTGGTTAAAATAGCTGCTTTGATGGTTGAGTCTATGGCATTATAGCCTGCTGAGGCCGCTTGCCTCCCCAAGCCTCACTGTCCCAAATCTCTACCCCAAAATCTCTAGGAATTTCCCAACCTGGAGCTGGCAGCCCTAAGGTGAATTGATCTTCATAGCCGGGAGATCCATTGTGATTCCCAGAGTGCTGCCACTGCTGCTGTGGGGGGAGAGGAAGTAGGTGGGTGGCTGGGAGCACTGCCACCATCACTGCTGCTGCTGTGTGGGGTAGGGGAGGAAGCAGGCAGGAGGCTGGGAGAGTGATGGGGTGGGGGCAGAAAGAGAGAGAAAGAGTGATGAGGTGGGGAGGCAGAAAGTGATGGGAGAGTGATGGGGGCAGAAAGAGAGAGTGATGGGGTGGGAGGCAGAAAGAGAGAGAAAGAGTGATGAGGTGGGGAGGCAGAAAAACAAAGAGAATGATGAGGGGGCAGAAAGAGAGAAGAAGTAACATGCATGAAGGAGAGACAGAGAGTAAGAAAAGAAGGGAGAGAGTGTGAGAGAGGTAGGGGGAGAGGGAAGGAAGCAAAGGTGTGAGGAATGGGATAACCATCCCACAAGTTTCTTGTGGGTCTCCACTTTTATTTCTTTTGAGAAGCAATGTTTGTTTGTCTGGAGATAAACTTTTGTTACAGTCTGCAAATAAAAGCTCTATAGCCAACTGCACATGTATCTGAGGTGATTTTATAAACTACTTTACCTACCTCCTTGAAGGACTTCTTCGCTTCCACCAAAGGATGCCAGTGTGCAATGGGTTTGCGTGGATAAGCCAGCATTTCATTCCAGTGGTCCCGGCCTAGTCCCTCAGCGCTGTTTGCCACACGACAAACTCCGATAATTTCATTATGGCCAACTCTGAAAGTCAACAACCATATACGACACACTTCAAACTCTCTTCTTCTGTTGTTGCTGACCCATGTTTTCCTGTGCTCACTAAACCTTCCTATGTTGTTGCCTTCACAACTTTGTTCTGAGCTGTTATTCTGTTACATTCAGCTTTCCAGCACTTTCTCTGTTTTCCCTATCCGAGCTCATGATGTATTTCTATTCCTCACTTTTCTGCAACAAGCTTCTCATACACAACCAGGACTGCCACCATCTTTTCCTGACTGGGACTCTATGTTATTAATATTTGCATGACAGGCAGACATTCAACCAGTGAAATCTCTCCATCATTTTCATCCATGGGAAAGCTGTGTCAGATTATTTTCTTCCTGTTCTTGAGGCCAAAAGATGATTTGTATCTCCTCCTCACACCTTCCTGTTAACATGTAGTTTTTGAAGACACTGGATGTGATATCATCACAGTCACAGTTTCCCCATATCCCTGCAAATGGGAACCAGTGAAAGGCAGTGAGAACAAAGAAACTCTGAGCTTGATGATGCATGGCATTTTGGGTTGGTTCTGGCTAGCTTTTCTTGCTATAGCCTCCATCCCACATAGCTTTGGGCATACAGGTCAAATGATCCCCAGCATAGTCTTTTTTTGGTGGCCCTCCTACTTTTTTCACTAGCAGAAAAGACAGATTAATCCAACTCATTTTCTTTAACTAGACATTGGTCCCTGCCACACGGCAGGGAAAAGGACGCTCGAACTGCGGCTAATGTGAGCCGCAGCAAAGTTGAGACAGCGCGGCGGGATCTCATGGCCCCCCCAAGCCGCGGCACCGTCGCTCCCCGGCACGATCAGATGCCGGGGAGAAAGCAACGGTGGGGAGGGGAGCCTGGCGAACTGCGCATGCTCACACATGCGCAGTTCGGCCAGGAGCTGCGGATGCGCCGGCGCAAGGACACACCGGCGATCCCATGGTCAGCGAAAAGAACCACCTTCGAAAAGAACCACCTCGGTAGGTGGTTCTTTTTTGGTGTGGAACAGCGCTGGAAGGGCCGGATCAGGGACGGAGACGGTACGCTTCCCAGATGTTGTGGTGGGATCGCGCCATTTGCTCCGCCCCCATTCCATCCCGCTCCCGGCCCAAAAGGCCTCGTATGGACAGGACCATTGTTGAGAAGATCTGAAGATATGGATCAGTGGCAGCCATTTGTCACTTCTAGCTTTGACTTGATGTTACAAGTGCCACTGCAGAATAGGATTGCCAACTTCAGTTTGGGGAATGAGAAAGAGCAGAGTATGGTAAGGAAGCTTAGGAAAGATATGCTGCCATGCAGTCTATGTTTCAGGGCTGCCATTTTCCCTGGTGGAACTGATCTCTGTAGTCTGGAGAGCAGTTGTGATTCCAGAAGAACACCTGACCCCACTGAGGCTGGTAATGCTACTGTGGAGGCATTCAAGCTGCCTGCAATATGGCTCTTAAGCTCAGTATAATCTTTTGCTCCATTCGTCAAAGGATTTAACATCTTCAGAGGAAAGCAACAATGCCCTTCTCAGAGACAACTGAAACTCAGGGTTATGCCCTACTCACACAGACCAAATGACTGAAATACAATGAGCACAGCTTAATTTGTTAGTGTTTTAGTAGCATGCTTTATCACTAAATTAAAAATGCATGGTACTTCACAATGTGGTGTTGGACAGAATAGAGGGACACTGAATCCAGCACAAGCCAGTGAGTCAAATCAAGCATGATTCTCCAAATGGGATTTAGGCATTGCAGGGACTCCCACCTACCGGTCATAATCCATAACAGAGATAAGCAGGCTGACTTGATCCATGTTCTCTGGAGGGATGTCAAAGATTATTGCCTCATTGTATGTAGGATTAAGTGTGTTTCTCTTTATGGTGGTTTTCTTCTTCTTCAGTCTCCTCCCATCACAGAGCAAAGACACCTTGACATAAGGATCTGGAGAGCAAGTAAAAGGGGTAGGGGGCAGACTTATTAAAAGACCCTTTTACTGATGTTTATGCAGTTGTTAAATATGAAAAGTACATTTGAGGGGGGAAAAGGATATTGGTCAGAATATAACATTTTTTTCAAGTGTTTCAGAATTCTACACATATTGTTATGAGACAGACACCACTGTTGTCTCCAGGATTTCTTTTCTTTTAGTTGCCAAGCCTTTCCCTTTTCCCACTAAATTCAGTGGAGCAAGTTCACCCCATAGGGAGCTCTGAACTTAGTTTTCCCGAGAAGTTGAATTTTCTGTCTGTCAACCCAGGAACCGTCTGTACATATGCCGATCATCTGTACACTTTTCCTTTGGAGGCAGGGCTTTTGATCTATGTATACATCCCCAAGCATCTTGCTCTCTTTTTAACAGTGTCTTCTGGATGTGTTTCCTGTGTCTGAAAGCAACTTCTTTGTTGGCCCACGTGGTCCATTTCCTGTCCCTTAATATGATGCAGATGCTGTTCATCTTCGAGCAGCTCCCTAGTTCTCAGATTGTGTGTATAACTTTCATGCCAGTTTTGTTGTGTAAGCTAAACATATGTGAACTATTTTTCAAGCAACCATAGGGGTGGCTTTTTGTCAATGAAAAGAGATACAGGGGAAAAAATAGAACAGCAGTACCACACTAGCTGCCCCAGAGACTGACTTTGGCAAATTACCTCTGCATTTCCAACATAGCATGGATGCTATGTAGGCAGCTGGAGAAAATCACGGTGTATTTTGAAGTTCCAGTAGCTATATAGGACATCACTGCAGAACTGCTGAGCTGTTTTCCCTCTGAACCTTCAATTCTCAATTATTCAAGCTGTATCAAATGCCAACAGAACTGAAATACTTGTCTACCCAAACACCCTACAGTTATTTAATCCTATAGATTAAAATGTTTGTCAGCAAAACATGAACACTGTCATGTGGAAGTCTGTGGGCCACCAAAAAATAGGTGAAATGACAAAGTATTCACAGGGGAGTTGTATATGTATACTGGTCACCAATGTTCCCTCTAAGCTGTGGAATCTTGTGAGCAAGAATTCTACTTTGTGAGCTCCTGGCATTAAAGGGGTGAGCAAGCAATTTTGCTACTGCATCAATTAGTTTGCTCTGGAGCCCTCCTTCCTGAGCAAAGACAAAAATATGTGAGCTAGAGGCTAAAAAACTGTGAGCTAAATCACACTAACTCAGCTTAGAGGGAACACTGCTGGTCACCTCTTGCTTTCCTAGTAAACCATGAGACACATCTACAAGGAAAAGAAGATGCAATCATAAAATCTGAGACACTCTCAGTTTCAGGTTACTTGAACTTAACCTGGAACGGAGAGCTCTTCAGTTAGATTTACCAACTTGCTGGGAAAGGGTTTGGTAGATGAATGTGCATGGGTGGCACAGTTCTTCCAAATCCAGTTCTCTGTGGGACTCTAGCTACTCCCACAAGGCACGGATTCTCCACATTATTTTCTTCATCACCGTAAATGCAGAGACATGCATCTGCTGGCAATGAAGTATCCACATGTGGACCACTGGACCTCTATGTGCTTTTCTGCCTTTTTCTTAACTTTTCTCTTCCAAATGTGGACCACAGCTGCTCTATATCAACTCTCGGAGCAAATTAATCTCCTGGCCATGGCTTCTGTGGCCACTCATGCCCCACCTTCTTCCTTTCTTCATGCTTGCAATATGGCATTCTAACAATTCCATTACAATTTGAAATTGATAAGGAGCAATAGAATCTTAATTACTGCACTGTAATGCTATAGAACAATGGTGCTATAGCAATTCTTGATTTTTAAAAAAAACTCATAAAGTCTTCTGATGGTACAGCAAGAAAAAACATGCTGGGAAAATGGTATCTGTGAAGGACTGAGCACTGGAAAATGTTGCCAATGTGGGTGGGACCTTTGTAGGGCAGGAAAATGCACAGTAGTCCTTCTAATAGAACTACCATAATGAGCTTGGATTGTGTTATTTCAAAAAGATACTGGAGTAAAGAAGATTTATGAAAGAGCTTATTGAGGATAAGAAAAAACATGGTAACAGGACAATTACAGCATGACATTGTGTAGAAGTCCCCCCCCCCCCAATAAAAAGCACTCCATTTTGGAAGCCAAGGCAGAGTATGTGGAAGAAGCCTATGCAAAATAAATGATAAAATCCTAGAAAGCAAAAAAATTGGCACATCTGACAGAAATCACAGATCAGTTTGATTTAACATATTCACTTAGGGCCACTTTTTTGTATGGGAACTCCAAAAATTAGCTATTTTTCACTAAGTAGACATTTTAATTGCATAGCACCTAAAATGTGTTTGCCTTGATGGTGTAGCTATGTCATGAAGATGAAGCTACTGAAATGAAGTAGGAAATAGCCAGTAACCTATTTTTGGACTTCTCCTGATGAAATGTTTTTCTCCAGAGGTATGATTTCCACAGAACAATGCATGTAGAAGATGTTACATTAGAACGGATTCTTTTTTCCAGGAAGGGTCTACATGTGTAAGGTGGCAAGGATTTGGTATCCTAATCATGATTTTTTCTTTTCTTTTAAAAATCCATGTTGGTTTTCAGTTCCTATATAGATTTTTCCCAAAAAGGAGAGGGGGGGAAACATTATTTTTTATCCAGGCTTACGGTGATCTCTGACGTGACATATCAGGAAGGCAAAGGCACAACTTGGTTGTGGTAGGGATGGAGATAATACATCCCAATGCCCAAAGGCAATGTCTAATTCTATAACACATTTTTAAAAATTAATTTATATCACTTAAAAATAAATTATGTTCTTGGCTTCTATCACAGCTCTAGTTTCAGATGGCTATGCCAACAATACTGCTAAAGCTCCTCTGACCTTGAACAAAAATGTTTTAAGTGACTGGTTGGGTTACACATGACACTGAATTCTGTATGGATGGAAGAGAAATATTTCAGATGTTCTGTAGCACAGACAGTTTTGCTTCGATGGCATCCACATCATGAAGAATAAGTAGAAAAGCTTCTCAGCTGCTTACAGAGCAAGCAAAGCTGCCACCAAAGCAAGCCCAAAGAAATATAATGTAGCAGCCTTACTCTAAAATGACCAACACCTACCTGAGTAGCCAGTGATATCCATTGCTTTAAGATTCCTGCATTTAATGACTGTTAAAGTGAGACGACCTGCAGTTGGCAGATAACAAAGGGAAAACATGATCTCTCCCAGGTCCACACTTTCCTTTAATAAAAGAGAGAACATGGAGAATTAGAAATGGATAGCACACTGCACCTCTCAACTCCTGCTTTGTACCAACTGTATCTTTTCTACCAGTTTTTTCCCCCTTTACTGACCATCTCCTCTCTCTGTACCAAGGCAGGGCAAATTGCATACAATAGAATATCACTCTGAAAGTGCTTTCTTTCTTTCGATTTATTAATCGCTCAATCCTTGCAGAGCTGCTGGCTCTGAGCGATTTACAGTTACTCATGTATTCACAAGGGACTAACAATGATAGGGGTAAGGGAGAACAACATATATCTTTAAATCGCACACATTTAGCAGCCAACGGGGAGTTTATCCAGCTGTAAGCTTCAGACGTGTTCCAACAGCATTCTCCCTCTGCGTGGCTTGATGTCGTCAGCTTTCTCAGTTGCAGCGCAACACTGCCACCGCCTGGCCCGAATGGCCCATTACAGGCCATGATGCCGAATAGATCTCTCTAGGCTTTTGATCTCATGTGTTGGACCTTCCGTTCGTTGGCTAACACCTCCCCCACTGGGGGGTTTAGTGTGCCCACCCTCTCTAAGGAGTGGTTCCCACTTTATCTACTCACTGAAGCTTTCGAACCGCTGGGTGGGCGGCGAGCTGGGGACAAGGCTGGTAGCTCACACCAGCGCGGGGCTAGAACTGACAGCAGTCCTGTTCAGCTCAGATGTTTAACCAGAGGATAAATCCCCAGTGCCACCGCTCCCTTACAAATGGAAACAGTGGGTCTTCTCACACTGAGGTTTTCCCATGGTTTGTATGCTTCCACATGTCCTCATCCTCCACTTGTTGTCTTTCCATGGTTTCTTTGTTGTTTCTCCATGTTTTCTCAAATCAGATCAAAGGTGGTTTGAGAAAGCCTGGAGAAATTATGAGAAAAATATGGAAAAACAACAAAATGCAAAACAAGAAAGTGAGGAAGCTGGCCCCAGTTCTCCATCAGGTGATGCAGTGGGAGAGGGCCATTTCCAGGGCCCTTTTGGCCACTCAGCACACCCTTGTACTTTAGATAGACTATGGGCTAAAGACTGCATCCCCAAGATATGAAGGCAAATGATACAGCAACTTTGCTGAAAAGGTCTAGTCCATACTGGAAGAAAGAAAGGATATCACTTCAGAAAAAAGTTGAACAAACATACCAAATGCAAATTACATAATCTTTCTAGTTTTTTGTGTTCCTTGCAGAAGGAGCATGATCCATTATATACTTAAAAAGTGCACCACGTGTATATTTTTCAACCAGCAGTGGCCAATTCCAGTTCTAAAATAATCTCCTTTATTCTCAGTGTGTTCACATATCTATTAACCTGTCAAACGTTTAGCAGGTAGGAATCCACTGCAACAATGTCTTTCGCAGGTGCTCTGGCATCCTCAGCTCCTTCATTGTACCATTACATCATTGAACAATGGAATATTGGGAAATGGCTGGCCCATGTGAAAGATGACCTGAATGAACTGAGTCGAACTAAATGTGGGTTCTTCATAATGGCTATATACACCAGTCTTGAGTCAGGCCAGCATTCTGCCTTTTCTTTCTGCAGATTGCTAACAAGGACAGAATTAATCAGTGATGTAAAAACTCAGCTTCTGAGAAGTTAAGAGGCAATGCATCCAAACTGATCCTTGCGGTGTTTTCCAACAAACTTCACTTCTTAATATTAAAGGCCTGTTCTACTAGAAAAATGGACAATTATTTGAGGTGACTTCCATACCACAAAATTGTTTCAAGAATAAGAGCAAGAACACACCATCCCTTCTGAATACTGGGAAAGAGATCTGACCAAGATTATTGACCAAGAGATCCAGTGTGGTGTAGTGGTTAAGAGATGGACTAATATCTGGGAGACCCAGGTTAAAATCTCCACTCTGCCATGGAAGCGTGCGGGGTGACATTTGGCCTGTCACACACTCTCAGCCAAATCTACTTCATAGGACTGTTGTGAGGATGAAACAGAAAAGAGGACACTGAGTCCCCACTGGAGAGAAAGGCAGGGTATAAATGAAGTAAATAAATAATAAAACATTTTCTTCAGCTCTTTCCTAAACTTAATGTTGCTTTTATTTAATAGAAACCATTTTGTCTTCATTACTTGTTATACAATGAGATGAGCCATCAGTTGGCTCAACCCTTATAATCACCCTCAAAGCTTAATTTGTGTTGAAATAACTAACTGGTGATCAATCATACTGCAATTATTGCAAAGAAACATTGAAACGAGGTCTTCTAGATACCTCTAGGTGGCACCATAACTTTGTCAGATATGCTGTACCTTTCCCACAAATTGGTTGAGTTGGTCATGGGGGAAAGAAAGTGAAGACTGAAACTCCCTTGATTCACCACCTGGTGAGATGCTGAGGCAACAAGCAGGTCGACCTTTCCATTCTTCCTTACGAATCCTTTAGAAACTGGTTCCTTTCATTCCACCCTGCTAAACAGGCCTTCAAGACAGCTGAGCAAGATAACACACCCTGCGATTATGCACATATTTAACTCCTCATGGGGGAGGAGTGTTGCTGGATATCGATAGGCATATATAAATTTGTGTGGCAGCTTTATTTTCAAACTTTTCGCCCTAATTTAATTCAGCTCACAACTGCTTAAATTGTAAGCATTATCCCGCCTTTTATGAACCTGAAAGTGCTTCACATTTGATACTTTTGGTTTTAAAGGATCTTCAGCAAAAATGTATAGTTTATACGCTTCATATTAACCACATTCATGTGTGGTACATAAGAAGCTCAAAGGAGAATTTAAACTCCATGCTTAAGAACACCCTGAGAACTATTGACTTGACTATTGTGTTTGATTTTTAAAAAGATGTGCTGAATCTCAAACTTGCCTGAAACTTCCTCTTCTGCCCTTGAAATCTCATCTCAAGAATGTTGGGGATGGCTATGAAAAGTCATTTATGCTTTGCACATACATGGGAATCTTCAATAATATTATTACTTCACAGTCTTCCAAGTGCTGAATCTTGGCACTGAAAACAGGCTCCTAGCCTTAACTCTAGTTGAAATGAAGCCTGCTTGACAAATTTACTCGATTGAGCTGAAAATAATTTATCTTAATAGGTGTCCCAACGTCACAGCCCAATAACCATGAGCCCACAATAACTCTCAGTTCTAACAAGATGGGCAGATAGATAGATACACAGGTGGACAGACAGACAGCATTGATATTGATTTACATTGCAGTTGCATCCAAAGGAGCAGAATCTGATCACACTATGCCAGTGGTTTCATACAGAGGAGGGAGGGCAGATGCAGTGGAAGGGGCTGGACAGTTCCCACACTCACCAGTTGCTT